GAAACAGACATGGGAACAAAAATTGGACAGAACTGGAAAAGGAGGCCCAGGACACAGTAGGTTGGAGAATACTGGTAGGTGGCCTATTCTCCATTGAAGGTAACATGCGCAAGTAAGTTTATCAGTTTCATGATAAAGTTTGGAGATCTCGATCATTATAGTATCATCAATTTGACCACGTACTTCCCATTACTGATTGATCAGATCAGTCAGTATCTTTTCTACTTCCCAATAATCCGAAATTTTATGACATGAATAATTTAGATTTTTATATACAAAGCCCTGTTTAGTCTGGAAACTAGGTCAATCTTAATGTTTGTCTGTCTATCCGCGTCTACCTACTAGTCTGTCAATGTTCCATTTCGATTTATGGTCGCATAAATTCACACTCACACATATTACGTGTGTGTGTGTGTATTCGTCTAGAATATGTGCATCTATCCAGCATATGAATGGAATTCTAGTTACAGAAATGATAATAGAGATCGGAACACATACACTCCAATAGATGATCACTGTACAGACATGTACAGTCTATTGATCGCGAATCTTTTTTGGTGATGGCCTGGATTTCGACATTTTCACTCGATTCTTTCTGTTCACTGTGATGATTGTCGTATTAACGAAGGTGATATGATGAAGATTGGGTGTGTATAATTTGAAAGTGATTATCAAGTGAAATTTGACTTTCAGTATAAATTAAAACTGTTACACTCGTCTCTAGGTCTGCTTAATCTATTACGAGTTCATCTCAGGCGAATAACGAGAACAAACAATGAGCCAGTGTCCAGGTAGGCTACTGTGATCCCTTGACCAAATTGTATCAGCGAGAAGTCTTGATATAGCGTAGAAAGTGTATTCTACAAACACTCAGCCAGCACACAATGAATCGAAGCACTCAAATTGCGTTTATTTATACACTATAGAGACGTCCTTGGGACAGTCACAAAAATAGCACACTAAAATGACACAGGAAAAATCACACAGGAAATGTGATCTCAAGGTCAACTGACCAGTCCATGAAATTGATCCAAAATAAGGATATTTGCCAAGCGAGTTCTGGGGATCTAACATCCCAACAAAAACTGAGGATTATAGAGCACTGGATGGTTATTTATTTCCTCGTTTGAAGTTCTGCAGTATAGCCTACCTATAGGTTATATAACTCCACCTATAGCCCTTCTAGGATTACTGCCAGTTTCAAGCCCAGATAAAGTGTGGTGTGAGCTACTTATAAGTAGTATATGGTGTGTGTCAACGTAATGTCTGGCAGCAGAAGATGGGGGAAGATCAAGAAAGGAAGAGTTAGAACACAATGGAATTTGTATGAAACGCATGAATAGTGACAATCGATTGATGTTTTGCAACAGGAACAGTCCAGTTCGATATGATGAACTGATATTTTGCAAATGAACGATTTACGATATGGTTTTGCAATTTTACTGAGTAACTCTGTAATTATCGTTAAATACAATTCGGTTGCCCCACCTGTGTTCTCGTTCATTACAAAAGGAGGAGGGTTGGGCATGGTTGTTAGCGGTGACTCCATCCCGTAGAAATCCAACTTGCTAACAAAAAACGCGAACCAGAAAAATAATTCGCCAGACGGCGGACTATGTTCCATTGGAGGTTAATAGGCGTAAGTAAAGTAAGTAAGTAAGTAGGTTAGGTACTTAACTCAACACCATTGAACCATTACGTCGAACTTCAGTAGCTCACATTTACCTACTTTACAGTATATTACGATTTACAATTAATTTCAGTAAAAAAAGCTGTGATTATGGAGGGTCAGCTAATTAAGAATATATAGATCTTTTTAAACGGTACTATAACTCAGACTCTATGAAATTGAAAGTATGGAATATTACAGTAACTGACTCAGTAGCTTATTGTCAGTCTATGGTTTAAGTCAGAAATTCATGATAGAATAAATAACAGCTCTCTAGAATTATACAGAGATTATAATTTAACAAAGTAGTGAAATACTCTCCACTGTATATATTTATATTTTGTATAATTCTTCTTAGTAAATATTGTAGGGTAACAACTTGTGAGAGAGAATAATTTTTGGAAGTCTAATCCTATTGGTAAATTCCTACTGGTCAATATTACGATCATCCTAACTATCAATGTCACATACTTCAATGTTGTTTCCTATGCGACCTAACTTGTATAAACATGCATTATCTGAAAAGCTTGTTATTCCTTCACCCCTTCTGTACTCGACCACATAACCACTTCATCTAACGGTGTTGTATTCTGTCCGATATATTGGAGATTTGGCAACAGTATTTGCGGTCTCGTATTGGAATATCTGAATTTAGTCAATCTGTAACATTTCGAATAGCTACATAGAGTCATTATAACAGGTGGATACTACTTGTAACATGGGGGTTCGAAGTCGAGTATGCAGTGGAGTATTATTACTGTTGGAGAGAACAGTGTCAGATCCGAACGTATGCTTGCTGTAATGAAAGTATTTTGAAGACCAGGAATGAAGAAAGCCGATAATCTGTTCGCGTTGCAAATAGGTATCTGAAGATAAGATTTTAACGTATTCCCTTGATAAACATGTGTCTAATCTGAATATACTACTGTTACATTTGTTCAGTACAATTGCATTGATACACAGAAGTATTAAACTTTAACAAAAAATATAGTGTCCAGGTAGGCTACCTTGATTCCAAACTGCAAAACAGAAGTCTTGATAAGTGTAGAAAGGTATATTCTACAATGCAATCAAGCACATAAATCTTATTTATTTATACATCATAGAAACGTTCTTGGGACAGTCACAAAAATAGCACACTAAAATACATAGCAGCCAATCACAGCCAAGGATTTTGCTGGTGGGAAATGAAATCTCAAGGTCACCTGATCAGCACATGCTCGGAAACGTAAAATCCAAAATAAGGCATTTATCAAGCGAGTTCTGGGGATCTAACGTCCCATTGCGTCAACCTAGACTGCATCTGTTGCTATCCGATGCCATATAATGTATATACCATAAGCTACATTACTACACAGAGTTGAAGGTTTCTTCTGAGGCCAGAGGTTTGTTGTGAACATTGTGGATCGTTCGGTATTACTTTGTTGAAGTTTTGCTAACTGTCTATATACAAATATGGTTTGTAAGGTGACCGATTTCACTGATACTGGTGGTTGGCTGTCTTGCAACATTCCTGAAAGTCATTGTCACTGGGGCGCTGCAGTGCAGATGACAGCCATTGCTAATGATAATGAGTTTGTAACAGTCATGTAAGCGGGATGGGTCAAATTTGCCTGTTCGTGCGGTGCATACTGATTGACGCGATCATGGATTGGAAATATTCACTATATGCATTGATGTGTACAAATGGTGTGAATGGTCCACCAGGGTGTCAGGTACTTGTGCGGTTGAGCCATGAGATTGAGCAGTACTGTTCAGGTTGTGGTGTTAACACACGAGCTGTGCCTGGTTCTTATGAAAACCAAAGTAAAATTACCCTTACCATTTGAGAATGACTTTATATAATTGTGAATATGCACGCGATTACTACTTTCAACTTAGTAAATCATATTTAAAACATGCAAGACCGTAGTATTCTTCTTGAAAAAAGATTTCTCCCTTTAAAAACAAGAGGATCTCAATTACCCCTAGATGCCCTCACCGTGAAAGGACAATTCTTCCTGAGGTACCTGAAAGGACAATTGGATTAGTGGTAGTTTTAGCAATCTGATTTCAGAGACGGACAAAGAACAGGTTGACACTGGTTACACCGGACCTCTTTACAAGCTGTTCTTGTGTTATAATGATATTCAGAAATATTCAAACTAATATGCTAATCAGTAGCCTCTAGTGTGGTAGTAATACTAACAAGTTGGCATATGAGTGTTATTCAGCGGGGCGCCACCTTGGAGTTGCTATCAAAGAAGATTGTCTAAAGACAGAAATCTACAATGCGATCAGACTGTAGTGAAGAGCAAAAGAGATGTGAGAGAAGACAGTCAGAAGCATACTGGTATTGCAGATGGGCGTTTGGAGATTAAGTGTACATATTTTGCGAAACAACTGTCTTCTGTACATATTCAGTTTGGTCATGACATCGTCCTTCATTGCATCAGAAACGTCCAGTTTAAGTCAGACAGAACTTAGAGAACACAAGTTTATTAAAGCAGCATAACGATACATTTACGAATCTTTATTGTATACAGACATCACAATTATCTCTATATAGTTGGTACAAGGAGTGTAGAATCTTTAAGGCTAACATTTTATGACTCATTTCTTTTCGTAGGTGGCATCATCATGGGATATGCTGCTTGTATGAGATGAAGGATGTCTTAATGCTGTCACATTTTTGTACAATTAGCAGTACTGCTTCGCCTTCGGATCATGCGTTTACCACCTCTGATCGGACTAATATAGTAGACCTAACAGAACAAGTACTCTAGTCAATATAGTTCAATTGACCTGTCGCGATGTACAAGTCTAACCACTTTGTTACAATAAATAAAAGTACATTTGCGACGTTAACCATCATTCAGTAACCCAAGCTGGAGTGTATTTCTTATGATATCAGTTACAATGTTGTCAAACATTGACAGATAAGCAAAGAAAAACTGTCGGATAGACAGGGACACAACACTTCTGCTTCAATGAATCTGATGCACTACTACTACTACTATAAGGATTTGTGAATAGAGAGGCTTTTTATTTCAATCAACTCATAGCTGCTCACTTTCCCTTTGTACAATTCCTATATTCTCAATCGATTCGAATTGTCCGGAATAATACAAATTCACTAACCTGGCGGTTTAGTGTTTTTTATATGTTGAATTAACTACGTTATAACTACTCTTCCACTAGTCTCTAATGTCTTAACACTCCTTCCTAAACCTTGTGTGTGTCCAATTCACACTATCCTGTTTTCATTATTACATAACACACATATTTATGGAGAACACAGATTATATTTTTCATAATGAAATAAAAATAAAACTGAAATATCTCTGTCTACACACACACACACACACACACACACACACAAGACAGCAAGCAAACAGCGCCATAGTTTCTCTCCTTGTCTTTGAAAATGACAAATTTCAATGGACACAAATAAACAAAAATATCGCGACATAATCAATCAATCAATCGATAATCAGTGATATTTCCATTCGGTGCTCTTCTGCTTCTCTTTGCATTATTAATTAGAACTGACCAATGATTTCGATGGTTTAATGTAAGAAATCGATTCAGGCACTTTAATCTCTTGAAATGTTGACAAAAATGCTGTAACCACCTGGGGTGAATTGTAGCAATAGAAGAAACGTGATAATTAAATAAGAAATGCATGTGATCATTGGGGAGTAGGAAACATACAATATTAAGAGTAACTTTTGAGTTATACGTACGTTATAGTGACAATGAAAAGATTATATATATATATATATATATATATATATATATAGCAGTCTCAACAGCAGTTGGTCTCAACATACACACAAAGGGGAAAGCAAGATTCTCCCATACAACACAACATGCACCAATCAAATTACACTTAACTAGTGAATCTTTGGAAGATGTTTAAAGCCTTTACAATGGAACTCAAAACAACGATCAACTTACACCACAAAGTTAGAATTTTCAATACAAATGTCAAGACAGTTCTAATTTATGGGGAGGGAACGTGGAGAACCACGAATATCACATCATCCACAAGATACTACCAGTGTTTATCAACAGTTGTCTACGTAAAATACTTCGGATCTGTGTTTACCAGACACTATCAGCAACAATCTACTATGGAAGAGAACAAACCAGATTATAGCGTAGGAAGAAATCAGGAAGAAGTGCTAATGGCCCCGATACGGCAACACATTAAGGAAAGCACCGGACTGTATCACAAGACAGACACTTAATTGGAACTTTTAAGGACAAAGGAAAAGAGTAAGGCCAAGGAACATGTTACGCCAAGAAATGGAGACAGACAGGCATGAAAAGAATAAACAGTGATTGGGTGGAACTTGAAAAGGAGGCCCAGGACAGAGTAGGTTGGAGGATGCTGCTTAGCGGCAGCTTCATGAATAAGTATCTTACTAGGTTTAGTTGGGATTCGAATTTCAATGTGAACAACAGTACTACTAGCTAGTCAGGTACATTCGCGTTCAGTAAACCTTAAAGATGGAATGTGATCATCTTAAATCTTATTGCTGGAGCTAAAATCCACATTTAAGGAAGTTAGTTTTCAAGAAAAGAAGGTGAAAATATCTGTGAATGAGCAATATTTTCATTAGGAACTTTTCAAGTGAATTAATAAAAAACCAGCTGATGTGAGAGAGATTGTTAAATCTAATTTTAACTTACTTCCATAGACAAACCATCACTTATGGTAGGTAATATTGATCTAGTTTTTATTGTGAATTAGGCAGTCATTCATCACAAGCAATATATTGAACCTGAGAGATGTATGTGTGTGTGTGTGTTGGTTTTAAACCAGCACAGCGAGATACTAGAGATGGTTTCAGTAACACAGAACCGATCTAAGAAAGCATAATGTAATTAACGTCATAGAACCCTTTAAATTCGAAGTTTATTAATATCATGGATTGACTTTGGTGGAAGCACTGACTGGACAGATTATCCCTCTTCCTAAAAGTCCCTGTGGTTCGATCGCCTGTGAGGTCGTAAATGTGCTACACTGTTGAGGAGTTCCATACCAGGACAAAATAGGTATCCATTTGCTCCTAGTTTATAATAATTCTCTAATCAAAGTTAACCTGTGGTATGAAACTATGAAACTATCTCTTAGTAATTCATCTGTATTGGTTGTTTGACATATATGTGTATCCTGTGTGGATGCTAACAATGCTTGTAACCTGAAAGTAATATCGAGACAATCCAAAGTAGACTGATCGATTGCAGTCTTAAACATCAATGGGAAAATGCCCACAACCAATACAAACGAAGTACTAGGGAGATAGTTTCAAAGTCTCATGTCACAGACTGACCTTGATTAGGGAGTCATTCAAAACTAGGAACCAATAATGGATACCCATTTTGTCCTGGTATGGGACTCCTCAGCAGTGCAGTACATTTACGACCTCACAAGAGATCGAACAACAAGGATCCTTAGAAAGGGATAACTGTCCAGTGCTTCCTGGTTTCCAGTATACATTTAACCAAAGTCAATCCACGATGTCAAACTTCAAATTGAACGGTTTTCATAACACCCTATAATAAACTGGATTATAGGCGTTCATACGCAAGACAGGGGTTCTTGGGTTCGAATGTTGTGCGTAACAGGAGTCTTGGATGCGTACTACTAGTGAATCCTATAACAGGACGAAACAGCTTTCATTCAGTGCTTCCAGATTTCTAATGATGGTCTAATTACAATGATTGCTTTGTAGTGCCTCCGCATATATTCCAGTTCGCTTACATCTAATTTGGTTAAGCCCTTTCGATTAATTTATTTAACCAAGCCATTTGCGTAGCAACAACTTAAATGTACCTTTCACTCTTATTATTGTCTTGTTTGCGTAAGCTCACATGACTTGTCTCGCTTGCTTTTGGCCTTGTCAATCATTCGTCGTTTTCATCCATGGTGCATGACTATTTCGCTTGTCGCATGTCTGTCTTATTTTCTGTCTGACTATATATTCTTTGTCATGCTCTATCTCTTGGGATTGGCTCACTAGCCTTTTCCACATTGATTCGTCCGTTCATTCGCCTATTCACTCGCTTGCCTGCTTTCAGGCGCTCGCATGTCAAAAATAAACGTATTCAACACTTCGAGTTCACCTTCTGATTTATAAACCGTCAGAAACTAGTTAGTAACGATTGTCTGGACGAGCTAATTACGAAGCCTAAGAACAAGTCAAAATTGGCCACCACAAAATGGGATAGCAGACCACAAACAGACCGGGCAGGCACACTAGAGCGGATGGGCGAATGAATGGATAAGATTAAAATGTTCGTATATATACAAAGGAAAATGTCTGCGTCATCGTGATATTTAAGAGATTAATATTAAAAGGGAATCGGATGAATATGCACGTAGGCGGTAAGCAATGTTCAGCCATACCAGCTTATACAAATCAGACAATAGTAAGAGCGAAAGATACAACATATAAGTTGTTGCTACGCCAATGGTTTGGTTAAATAAATTAACTGAAAGGGCTTAACCGAATTAGATCTAAGCGAACTGGAATTATGCGTGGAGGCACTACAGCTTCATGATGATCTCCATAGCTCTAATTGAATAATTATGCTCCTTTGTTATACAAACACTTACTTCTTCATTAGGGAAACATTTTCCCAAAACTTCTAACAATAAAACATTATCTTCAACAGCTTGTTGAAAATCCGTATAATTCAATCTTCCATCACGATCCATATCCTGAGAAAAAAAAACATGAAAACATGAGAAGGAAGGACTCTAAAATTATTGTTTTAAACGTTCATGCTACTTAAATTAGATATATAAGTAGTTTAGTATTTTAAACAGAAAATTGTTTTAATGTTAAGAAATAACAATGATACTACAATTTACTTCTCTATTGATTCTGTTCTTGGAAGTTTGACCATTGTACACAACGTGAATAAATTGATAAAAAACTACATCCATCTCCTTCTTATAGACATAATTCGATTTGTTTTTTTTTCAAATTCAACGAAAAATTTATCTATCTATCTCTAATCAACTGTTCAAAATGCAAATCGATGAATTTATTATCAATCAAGAAGTTTCCTTCCCCTCCTACTGTAGTGAAGGAGAACACAGGTGAGGGCAACCGAATTGTATTTAACGAAAACTACAGAGTTACTCAGTAAAATAGGAAAACCATATCGTAAATCGTTAATTTGCAAATCTTCAATCCATCATCAATCCATTGTCTGACATTTCACTATTCATGCGTTTCATACAAATCCCAATGTGTCCCCTCTCTTCCTTTCTTGATCTTCCCCCATCTTCTGCTGCCAGACATTACGTTTACACTCGCGTAATATACTACTTATAAGTAGCGCGCACCACACTACGAGTGAAGTTAAAATTTATACTCAATAGTTGGAAATACCATGCTAGCTAAAAGTTTACTATTATCAAAGATTATTTCTTGAGAGGATTACTTCAAGTTGGCAATTATTTAGACTTAATAAATCAGTGGATAACAACGTGTTGAATAATGCAAGAAGAAGTCTCAGCGTGATAAACATCAACACTTTGATCCAGATAAATCTAGATATTGAATTGTACAAAAGAATGAATGAAATGTCTATCCCCTAATAGATTTCAATAGTAGTAGTCATTACTGAATCTATCTTATACTCTATAAAAAAAGAAAGTATTACGAGGTATTTAGGAAGAGAAAAAAAAATAGTAGTGTACATGTTAATTCTAGCAAAATTTTTTATAGAAAGAAGAATGGAACAAGTTTTTAACCAACACAACATACCAATCGTTTAAATGCTATCTCGACTAATTCTCTAACTCCTTCATCAGGATCTTCATCTACTGGTTGCTTTTAAAATTAAAAATAAAGAATAATAAATAAAGTTTCAAAAAATTAATTGCATTGGTTGTTCATTGTTTAAAATATCTTTCATTTTATATTTCAAGTAATAACTGATTAATTTTCATGATAAATTGATATGATATCATGTGTGAGTGCATTGTCAATAGTTGTATTGCTGATGTTGATGTTGTTGTTGAAGAGTGAGTTATTTGTTAGACAGTACTAACTACCCCTATCCAATGTGATGATGTATGCATTACTTTCAAACATTTCTGCATTCATTTAGTGGTGTTAAGTGGTGCATTAAAAAGAGTATCATTGTTTTTGAGGTGGTTCTGTTTTATTTAATAAGCCTAGATTTCTCAGATGATAATTTTATTTTCCAAACGGTATGTTAGGATACGAGCTACATTGATTTGTTGATAGTTAGTCAGTCAGTCAGTCAGTCAGTCAGTTACAACGTACAACTTCGTACATACGAAAATTAGTTTCTGTCAACAGACCACATTAGTACAGGGACACAGTTGTCACTTCAAATCCTATATAGTGGTAGAGATAGTAGAAGTATTCGGCTGTAATCAGAGAGATTATGGTTCGAACATATTATTCAAGAAGTAGAATCTAGCGAAATAAACTTAAAAAGAGAAAGATAAAGGTAATGAGGAATTTCGGTTAGAATTTCAGAGAATACAATGAATGGATGCACCTGAGCCATTGCAAACGATTAGGAGCCATTTCATTCAAGGTCTCTAACCATCGGTGACTTTAGTCTCGCGGACCTCAACCAGGTAGCTTACATCTACCAACATGACTCAGTCATCAACTTGTCATTGACTTCATCGATTTCTGCCATGCTTTGGTTTGGCCGCCTCTAGATTTATCCCATCCTACTCCTACACCACAAAACATAGCTCTTCAAGATAGTCGGTGGTTGGGCATGCGTAGCACATGTTCCAACTACCTCAGAAGATGAAGTTTCAATATTTAATCTATCAACTCATATTAACCATGTTTCATAGCCATAAATTAGGATGGGACAAAATGCTGTGCAGTAGACTCCTCGTCCATTCTTTCATTAGCAAAGAGATGTGTCTAATTTCAAACTTTTCAAATAAGGTCATTTAATGAAATTCACTTCAGTATGTAAGTAAATGAACGGAAAATGAGACTACGTACAATGAACTTATTTGAACCTTGAAAACATATCGGGTAACCTTACGTGGGTTTCGAACTACTGAAAATTTTGAAAGAATACCCAAAGATTTACTAGTAAAACAGTTCAAGAATGAATGAATGAACAGATTTAACGGCTTAATTATGGACCAACGTCATTTGGGTGCTATTCGTATTATTGATTGATTTGTACCTGAAAAAGTTATGCATATATATTGTTATAACTGTAAATGATTTCTTATGGTGCTCTGGTTATACACAAATGTCATAAATTATTAAAAAAAATCGATTCCATTTTACATCGGAAAAGATAACTAGACGTATTTTGAAAAAAACTATCGAAAAAAATTCTTGAGCTCTTGAATAACAACTACTTGTTCAGTAGAGAACAAGATAATTTTAAAATTGATTGTGGATACGTTCTATTTTGAACTGTATATAATAAATAATATCGAACAACACCAAATGAGTTGTTACTGGAGCAAAAGTCCCCAGCAGAAATCCTGATGGGAAGAAGATTGAAAACGATCCACAGCCTGATGCATCCGACTAATGCACCCTAATCAGTAGAGACAATGGTCGCAAAGACAATCCTATTACGAAGTGAAATGCCCTGTGTTTGCCCGCGACTACAGAACGAACTATGATCCTTGGGCAGAAGCGCGAGTGGTCAGAAGAGTTGGACGAGTTATGCACGAAGTAGAGGTAGGAGGTGATAAATGGTTACGTCATCAAAATCAGATACTCAGACGGCTAGTCCCAGATCGTCCATCAAGAGCAGAAAGCCTTCCCCTTGACATCTTACTTGATACCTTCAACCTACCGGCAGTCCCGCCACGAGAAGAAACTCAGCAGCAAGCTGTTCTTCGTTCCTGAAGGTATCCTCTCAGACGGCGGCGAACGACAGTCAAGATGCAGGTCGACACCAGGAGCACACGCTATTAAAAAGGGGGAGGAGTGTTGGGGATGTTAGATTCCCGAAACTCGCTTGATAAATGACTTATTTCGGATTTCACGTTTGCGAACATGGGCTGATCAGCTGACCTTGAGATTTCATTCCGCAGCAGGAAAATCCATGGCTGTGATTGCCTGCTGTGTATTTTAGTGTGCTATTTTCCTAACTGTCCGAAGGACGTTTCTATGATAGATAAATAAACGAGAGTTGTGTGCTTGATTGTATTGTGATTTCTGGGTGTTTGTAGAATATACTTTCTACGCTTACCAAACCTTTTTTTTACAGCTTAGGTTTCAAGTTAGCCTGTCTGGACGCTGGTTCATTGTCTCGTTCGCGTTTATCGACTAAGATGAGCTTCAAGCGTACCTAGTGACGAACACTACAAAAGCACTTGATCAGGATAGCCTGGTGACTGATGAAATCTAAGCATGGATGAAGAAGGTTCAATTGGCTTTTGCTAATTTGTTTGCTTGCATCACTTATAGCGTAGAAGAGATATTCGTTTGCTAAACAAAGAGTGAGTGTATTGTCTAGTAAGTAGTTCGCTTCGTTCTAATTTATGACTGTGAAACATGGCCGGTAAGAGTTGAGGATATTTTTAAGTTATTAATATTTGACTATAGATATTTTCGAAGCATTGTTTGTGTATCCTAGGACAACCAAGTAAGCAATGCTGTTGTTAGGAAATGAGTACTAACTAAGGATGGCAAATCAATAGATGAAGTATTGAAACTTCATCAGTTGAGATGGTTGTGACATGGGTTACGAATGCCAAACCATCTACTGCCTCGTCGAACTATGTTTTGTGATGTAGGAGTAAATTGAAAGAAAGCTGGGCGCGACTACCACGGACAAGTGAACTGAGTCATGTTTGGAGGTGTAGGCTACCTGGTTGGGGTCCACGAGACGATAGTAAATGATGGTTGGAGACCTTGAACGACATGGCCCAAAATCGTCAGCGATGGTTCAGGTGTATCCTTTTCTTTGTGTTCTCTTGAATTCTAACCTGCTAAACTCATTATCACCTCTCTTTCTCTTTCTATAGTTATCTCACTGAACTATACTTCTTGAATAATATCTTCGAACCGTAATATTCTCCATTAGTGCTAATACTTCTACCACTTCTACTACTATGGGATTTAAAGTGACAATTTTATCTCGCTAATGCATTATGGCAACATAAACTAATGTACATACGTACGTACGAAGTTCTACGTTGTAACGGACTGATTGATTGACTGACTGATCAGAGTAGGGTAGTTGAGAGATGTATCACCATAAATAATCAAACACTAGTCCAGTCTGAATGTCTGCAACTTTTGTCAGTTATTTCAGAGTGCATATAAAACTGGTTTGTTTTCCATATTATATATATATATATATATATATATATATATATATATATATATATATATATTTATAACATGTATTGTAAATAATGAACCGGGCACCATAAAGAATTTGCTTTTACGGTATCAAATTGTAATTGCTAATAAATGAGCTGTTCAGATGTTTAGAAGTTAGTAGTAGTTAGTTAGAAGGTTAATGATCCGATAATAGTTATGTAGGTAGATGCAATCTTTTTGATTTTTTTATAAAATTTTATTTCACAACTATTTTCCCTTTGGTTATTTACATTATAACAAGCGGTTTAAACCACTCAGGGATAAACTGTTTGGTTATTAAGCTACTTTTACATGCTAACCAGTCTTTCGGGTGGTTGACGAACAGAACAAAAATATCATATTCATATACTTAGTCAGCTACTACGCAGAACTTGATGCGTATGAACATCATTTCAAGTTGTCATAACACATTATTAGCACAGTGCGATTGAATTGTCAATTCAAATCCCCTTGTAGTAGAGGCATTAGTGGTAATGGAGAAGATTAGTGTTCAAAAAAGAGAAGGAAGGAAGGAAGAAGGAAGCTCATGAGAAACTCAGAAGATTAGAATTTGTGATAAGACAAAGAATGGATGCATCTGCTCAGTGGCAAGCTATTTTAAAAGTGTCATTCGAAGTCTCCGACCGCGTAGAGAGCCTGTATTAGGTTGATGCACTTTTTTGGTACTCCTTTCAATGACACTGCAACAAAAATATCACTATCAACAGAGTCAAACGCAGCCTTAAGGTCAAGAAATACTACTATTAGGGGATGTCTGAACGTGTGTCTATGTTCTAGGACCTGATGAACAGTAAATATCTAGTCTGTACATTCACGTCGAAGCCTGAAAGCAGCATGATTTTCTGGAGTCTGGTGTTAACGAGCTCTAGTTAGGCGTTGAAGTATTACTGAAGCCAATATTTAAGACGCTATATTAGTCAAACTGATTCTTATGTGGTTGTCACGAGAGGACTTGTCCTTTCTTATAGACAAAGTTAATCAGTGATTGGGACCAGTCAGATGGGATTTCGTCCAGTTACCAGATTCTACCTAAGATCTCACTCAATCTAACTAATAAAACTGGACCACCATCCCTAAAAATCTTTGGGGTTAACTTATCAGGACCTGCTACCCTCCCTAACCCTAAATTTCCTATTGCCTTTACAACTGGAATAAGAGTTGGAGGATTTGAATCAGTTTGCCATCTAGGTTGACTAAAGATCATGGGCGACTGAAGTGTGACTGAAAGCCAGTTGGACTGCTGCTTAAAGTGTTCTTCCTATTGATCCAATCTCCTGGAATGAGAATGAATAGTATGCCCATCTTTCTCCGAGAGTCTTACTAACAATCGGAGTGCTAATTCCTGTTTTCTTGATAAGTCTGAACAGTTGTAGACTGTTCCCTATCGCCATCGCCTTTTCTATACCTCTTACTCATAAATTTTTAACATACTCTATGATCAAAACCTCCATGTTTACACCAAAAGATTTTATTTTAGCCCATAATTGAAAGAGAAAGAAAGGGGATATTGCCTAATAATATAAAGGGGAAACAAAAGGAAAATGCATCAAAAAGTCCCCACCGCCTGCTGCGAGCAAATGATGAGAGCTATAACTTAAACTACATAGTTGATCTACTGATATGGGAATACGAGCACCACACTAGTTTATCAATCTAAGGCTGAGCAAATATAAGGTGGAAAAGAGTAGTGTGGTGCCGAATGTATAAAAACATGTGGCTGTGTATTATTTCACCGGGAAATTCGGCCAGTCGGTGACTTTCAACGTAGTACATGATACATACGAACATCAGTTCAAGTTATCATTCCATTTTAGCACAGAAAGATGAAACTATTAGGCCGAATCCCAGAACAGTACCAATATTAGTTCTAATAAGAAAAGTTGAAGACCAAAGATCAGCTTCAGTAAAATACAAATCAGTGAAGTAAACAGTAAAAAGTCATGAGTAATTCTAGAGCTCATAATTTTGCTGAAGAAAAAGAGTAGATATTCCTGAGTAGTTCAGAATGATTTTGAGAGATTTCAGTCAGCGTCTCTAGCTACTGGATATGAAAATCATTTGGACACCAACTAGGTAGCTTGCATCTGAGAAAATGAGTTTAACTGCCAATAACTTTAGTTTCACTTTGAAGAGGACGGGAGGTCGGGTGACCTGGGTTAGCCTTGGACTCATGAATGTTTATATATTATCTCTATACGCGAGAGTGAATAGTTAAGTAAAAAGAATTGTAATTTTCCTAGGTGCAGCAGTAATTTAATTCGAATAATACACTTGAAATCATATAAAACATATGAAATAGTTACTTTGACAAGAGAAAACCTCAACAGTTGAAACATTTCTTCTCTTGTTACTCTACCATCATCATTGAGATCATAGACGGTAAAAGCAACTAAAGACATAATTATATTTTATTTTGTGGTTACATTTTATTTTCTCCTCCAAAGTACCCCTAAGCAATACTGAAAGTCCCATCACCCACTCTTGGGCATTAACACCACCATCGAAATCCGCATCAAAAACACGGAAAACTAGAACTAGGGCTTTATAACTCGGACATTACCTCTATCAATCATCAGGTCATCTGTCATTTTAAATGTGTGGTGAAATATTTCTCTGAACTTCATCCGATCTAATTTTCCGAAAGGCTTTTTGCCCTCAATTTTGACAAACATATAAAGCAAAGCCTCACACTCTAAACGAGTGACTTTATCCAATAAGTGGGTTGTATCTTACAGTTCACATTATTGGCGAGTTTATTTGTTAATTTCTTAATAGCCTTCTTGATAGAGATTTCGAGCATAATAAGCGCAATTATCAAGTGTCATAGTAACCTATGAGATATGAAAGATTAAAACAAAGGCAGTGAAAACAATATTCAATGCACCCTCACGTTTCAGATGCAGCAGATCAGCTGAAACATGATATCACTTAGGGAATATCTATGAGTGAAAATCTTATTTCTGTGTGAAAGCGTTCAGTGAGAGACTGATGGTACTTGTCTGAGAAGGAAATTCTGGTGTAAACAATCTTATCAGCAGAAAATGTTTTCTGTCTATAAATACAAAGGCTTATCCCAAAAATTCTATTCATATTTGTATTAGGAAAACATCCTTAACTACGTTTTAGCTTGAATATAAGCAAAAAGAAGTTTCGAACATATGATGTTTAATAATTTAATGGCTTATAATGGATGTAAGTTTTTACAGCTATTTGCTCACCGTTTTCCAGATTGTAGGCTTCGAAGATGTTGCGGGAACGGAGTTAATAATCAATTTCTCTGAAGAGCTTGGACTTTCTTGGATATTGTCCTAATGATAATGGTTCTGACAGTCTCTCACTATTCTCATTCGTTACTTCAGTCCATCTCGTTTGTGATGCATTCCTGAACGGTATTTTAAATCGGACTGATAAGGTTTTTTTCTGGGCATTTCTTCACGACTGACTGAAGTCTGTCATGAAGATAATCTTTATTATCTCCACTTCTGTTATTAGTGGCCGCGTAATGTTGGATGAAATCCATGGTAATCCTACAAAGTGTGCTTTGATGATCGCTCAAATTTACATTCCGTGGGTAATTTCCGCGCCTATTTGGAGAGTATAAGTTTAACACACTGTGCGGGAGACTTTTTTTCCTTATGACTGCAACACAGCGGAATTTCTATCGGGGCTACTGTTTCCTGTTCAGACTGTGTCTAATGGGTTTCACTGATTCCAGATACTTTCAGGTTCATATTACCATATACCCAGTTATTTACCTTGTGCTACTGATCACCTACGTTGCGCTGGCATCCTATGGTTTTGTATTAATTCCTTATCTGGTTGTCAGAAATGACACCGGTCTAATGATTTCCTAAAAATCTCAGGTTTCATCAAGAGGCATCATAACGTTTCTTAATGAATACCCTTCAGATAGGAAATAGCATAAATAATTTCTCTGGTCAGCATCTTTTCACTATGGTTGTTTTTTAAATGATCCTCAACACACGTGTCCTTTGGAATTGAAATGACAGCACGCACAAAGTTAATGTTGCAGTTTTGGGCGTTTTTCAAGTTATATTCTTGCGCATAATATATACACTCACTTTTAATATTCATTCTTTCCTAGATCAAAACTTATATCTTTCGTATCTTCCTCTTCAAATTATCGCGTGTTCCGTTCTTTAATAGCGATGTCACTAGTTATTACTCTATAACAGCTAGGAGAGGTTTGAATTTTGGGAAAAGTAGCAAGTTGAATATTCCAATATCCACAGTCTCCATGAACAGGATTGTGAAAAATCTCAAAGCGTGACTCATTAGTGAACATGGGAATAGTGTGTATAGCTTTGACCACCGGACAAGCTTCGCCTTGTTTGTATGCTTTTCATTATCATGTCTGCGTGAACGATTTCGTTAAATAAACTCATCCAACCGAATCCGTATTTGGCTGCTTATTGCCGCCGTTTCAAAAACAGGGTTCGCCTAGGTATAATATGCGGTAACTGCTGGAGAGATTTATTTCATATCATACCCAACTATTCATAAATAATGAAGTCATATCGTGGGTCAATAAACTACTTCTGACGTAATAGGGTACGCAAGAAAGGTGATGGAATGAGGATAAACACTAACAGCTATCTCAAAGCCATACCATCCCACTACGAACAACCAATCGACGTGACAGAATCATGCTGGTGTCGCTTCAACGCAAACGCGACGTAACACTTGAGTGGAGGAATTTACTGGCCCTCCTCGGCACTGAAGGGCGGAAAGATCAGCTGACTGAGGCAAAACCGTAACTATCACTCCTTGGGTCTGACCAGATACTTAGCAGGAGCTATCAACACTCCATCTCTTAATCCCAGAAAACAGAGTACAGCTCCTACAAGTTGGATCCAAAGTCGACTTAGCACAGCCATTAACAGTTATGGACTTACTGAGCATGTATTTAACGTCACTAGATGGACTCAGGATGGAACCCTCTCAAACTTGGATTAGTCGTTAACGAATGATCAACTCCTGATAGGGTGAATCAATGATCACAAAGCAGTAGCAAGTAGCGACCGAATTGCAGTCATTCAGGAGAATGGGAGGTGATTTGATAATGGTGTACAACATAATAAGTACCTTGAATCATCCCAACAGGAGCATGTTGTCGAAGCATCACTGACATGCATCTAGAGGTAACCCTCAAAAAATTGCTGATCAAAGAGTGAACAGCCAGGTTTGTGCACACCTTTCCTTTTGTGGTGGCCAATTTCTTTCTAGTTTCGTGACGATTGGTGTCCGGTAAGTTCTAAGACTTCTCATATTGCACGTACAGTCAGCCGTTACTAAATAACGCCACACGGTTTATAAATCAGAAGAAGAATACGAGGTTTTGGATGTAGAATCCAATTTGAAGGCTGTGTTTTGCTAAAATCCCTCCATGTACATATTTGCAATATGTTCTTACTGACTCTTTCTGTGCTACTTTTTAGTACTCTGTTTAATCCCATTTTGCGATGTTATTATTTGTATTTTGTCATAGTTCCTATTTTCTGTACCTTTATTGGAGTTTCTATGTTTTCTACTGAACGGTATTATGTTGTTTAAATCGATACTTAATTATAGCGTCAGCCACATCGGATTTGACACCTTGGGCGGTGAGCTTTGAATCTGGACTGTAAGGGTGCAGTTTTGGACTTATACGCAAGCATTCTTCTGGAATGGGAAGCACATTGTGTTAAACTGTGTTAAGGAACAGTGTAATATTGTTTAGGTAATTATTTATATTAAGTAATTATTAATAGAACCTTTTCTTGCCTAGATAAATTGTTGTTTTGTTGTTTTGGAACTGGAGAAGGCACGTATCTAACTTCTTTCACCTTTCTTTCGAATTCAAAAACCACTGAAAAACCGAGACATTGGATACTTTTATTTGGCACGCAACAGTTAGGCCACCAGACAACAGGCACACAAAGATAAGGTCAATATTCTAGTGCCAGAAGGCTAGCAAGTGAGCTAACGAATTAGCGAGTTGGCGAATCGGCATTAGACTAATACAATTAAAATGTACAGATATGTACATGGGAAAATGGCTGAGTCATCGAAATATTTAGGAAGCTAACATTAAAGCGAATAGGATGAATATGCGCGTATGCGGTAAGCAATGTTCAGGCATAACAGCTCATACAAATCGGACATAATCAAAGCCAACGGTACATATAAGTTATTGTTATACAAATGACTGGATTAAATAAGTTAATGAAAAAGCTTAACCATATTAAATATCAACACGTTCACTTGTATGTGGCGACACTACGAGTTGTCACAACTTGGAATGCTCTCTTAGCAGAGGTTACCACAACCCTCTCAGTAGATAGCTTCACGAAGAGACTTGACAAACACGTACTCAAATACGAATTATCATCTCTCTCTCGAACTAGCTATACATGATTCATGTCTTGAAACTTTCCTGTTGTTATTATTGTCATTGCCTTAGATCGATAACATATTCTATCTCGCTTATTGTCTCTTTCTCCCCTTCTATGGTTGCACTTCTGTTCTCTAGCACACTCTTCACGACCAATTACTTAACTAGTTTATTTATCTACATATTTCTGAAAATTTCCTAATTTTAATAATATTTGATTTGTCTCCTTATTATTCTATATATTGAAACTATCTGATTTCCAGCCTGGTAATTTGACGGCTGCTGATATCCAGAAACCCTGCTAACCTAAGGCATATTATTTACTTAGTTCTGAAATCTTATTACTATTAGATTTTTATACTTATTATTCTCCACACTACAACTAACTGACCTCTGGACTGGTAACATGGTAACTGCTAGAACGCAGAAACCCTACTGTCCTAAAACAAACGTACTCATTCAAATCACAGGACATACCAAGTGACTGGAATTGGTGTAGTCTAGTGGCTAGATTATCATCCAATGGACAATACTAAATATCTGGAACTGTACTGAAAGGACAGGAATCGAGAGCAAAGAAATGATTCGGCTTATACTTGTCTGTGAAAAAGACTTTGGTTACTGAAAGAATGGAATCGCTAGTCTCATCCTTCTCCTTCACCCAACCTTGAGGCATACAGTTGCTTTAGAGGTGCTTCAAGTGGGGTTAACACTGCTCATTCCTAAAGCAAATCATTGAGTATAAATTCTGTAAGCGATTGTTCGGGATAGAAGATGTGATCATGTATGTAAGATTTTGTCCTTAATTAGGAAATTCCCCACAAATATTAGAAAAACTAATACGTCATAAGATGAATTATTGTTTAATTCTTCGAATAGTTACAAAATAAACAAATGGCTGACAGATTTCTACTATGTATTTATTTGAACATCTCAAATTACAATGTGGGGTTGGAAAAATGACACTTAACTTCAGCCAAATAAGTATGTCGCTAATATTGTTGTTTTAAAAACAAAAATCTGTATACGTACATTAACTTTATAGCGACTGAAATTCAACTAATTAGTTTGAACTTTGTAGTGGACTCGTAAAATAACTTAACCAATTAATACAGGAAATTTATAGTCCGTACTTACTAACTTGTATGTTTGTAGGTCTCAACATACACACACAATGGGAAAAGTAAGATTCTACGATACAACACAACATGCACCAACCAAATCACTCTTCATGGAGATGCCTTGGAGGACACTAACACCTTTACATATCTGGGCAGCATCATCGAAATTCAAGGTGGATCCGATGCAGATGTGAGGTCGTGGATGGGCAAAGCAAAGGTTGCATTTCTACAATTGAAAAATATCTGGAACTCCAAACAACTTTCAACCAAAACCAAAATCAGCATTTTCAATACAAATGTCAAGACAGT